GCTAAAGAGAAGCAGAGTAAGTTCTAGAAAATTATCATTATAAACTTTGAACCTAGAAGGGAAAAACATGACTTGTCATTTTACATTCTGTGTCTCTTTTACTTTTCTTAGTTTCTTAATCAAGGTCTTGGTTGGTGTCTGATGTTATGGTAGATCTTGGTCTGGCATGGTGGGAAGGGAGTTGAAGATAATTGCTGATTGATGGATAACTGAACAAAATACGCAAGAAAGATAAGCTTGGAAAATAAGTGTCTCTTTCACCAGTATGAGCTGCACTCAGCCACGCTCTCTTACGGCATGGAAGCTGGCTGGTGAAAGCAAAGGCCACATTCCTTGAACAGGATTAGTCTTTACATCAAATTTATGGTAGTAAGGTCAACAAAGTCTCGTTATGTTCAGGAGGAGGTGGTTGCAATGTCATTGTGACATTGGAAACATCTTGGTAATAACATTCCAGAGTCCCTCAGCATAACATTCGGGATGTAATCTGGGTGAGCAAGTGCATGGTGCATTTCTTTGAACTTTGACTTGCAACAGGTGGGTGAGGAGTCTCTTGACTCAATGAAGTACCGTCATCTGAAGGGTGGTCTGTTAAAACAGACTTTCTGGCAGTACCTTGCCCTACGGCTTAGGATCCAGAACAAAGAAACCAGTGGTTCTTTTGGTCTGGAACTGGATTGGTTCTTGATGAAAACAAATCTACAAGGGAATTCTGACTTCCCCATTCCAATATACACAGCTGCCAGATGCCTGGAGAGCCAGTGCTGGTTTGTCCCCTGCTAGCCACAGTTCTCAGAGGTTAAGTACGTGGCTGAAGTAGGTTTTCCTGTGTTCTTTCTCAGAGTAAGGTCAGCGGCCCCTGCCCAGTGACTGATTCTCTCCTGCCTTGGCTTCCTGAAAGCCTAGTTGATATACCTTTGTGGCAGAGAAAGGGGCAAGGTCATGTAAATCTGCCTTTCTGAAAGCTGTGCTGAAATGACGCCAGGATTAGGACACTGAAACCCCTGTCAGGGTGGGAGGGTGAGTGGGAGGGCTCAGAATCTTGAGGGAGCCCACACACCAGGTTCTCGGAAGAAGCTGCTGGTCTCCTGGTTATGATGAGCCCCCCCGTGTGTTCTGGCTGCTGCTATCAGTGTGTCATTCATTTTGAGTTAGCCTCAAATAAAAGACATATCATTTTGCTTTAGAGACTGTCACATTAGGACATCTTACACTATGTTGATGACCCAGTGAAAGGAGAGCTGGAAGCCTTCCCCAAAAGCATAATAGCACAGTTGACATTTTACTGATGTTTTATGGTGAGCACACCAAAGGGGTATTATGGTTTTTTTCCTTTCTGGAAACCTTCTCACTGCTGTGCATCAAAAAATCAAGTTTCTCATAGACTTCTCAAAGTAATTCGTCAAAAAGATGGCCTAACCCAGGAATACCACTGGAGCTGTAGGCTGAATGGGAGAGGTGGCATACATAGCCTGTGGTGCTGCCCAAATTAAATGGCAAACCCTGGGCTGTTGAGAGCTGATGGAAGAATAAAAGTGAATTGTTCCCTGTAAAATCTTCAGTGTAGAAGTGCTCTAAAAAATATTTTGTTCTACAAAGATCTGATTCTCTTCCATGAATTGGTTCTGTAATCCAGGTGACATGGTTGACTTTATTGCGTGCCCATTGTTCACAGAACTCTGTCAATGGTTAGAGAGGTTTGGAGACCCAGGAACTTAAATAGCCACAGAAAGATAAAGACTACACGAGGAAAATAATTTTTCTCCTAACAGCCTTAGTTAGATTCCCCTCAAAGCAGAACGTAAGACAAGGATTTTGAGTGCAGAGAGTTTATTTGGGAAATGATCCCGGGGAGCAGGTGTGAGTAGTGGAAAGAATGAGATAAGGAAGAAGGAAAAGTTAATATAAGAGTACAATTCCAAGGCCACAAGGACTTGATGGCACCAGAATTTCTGAGAAGCATTCAGGGCACCTCCTACAACTACCTTGTGAGGGGTAGGAGGCTGGCCATTTAACCACCAGCTTTTGTGTTCCTTCTGGCTAGCCCCAATGGCTTGAGCTCCACCACCTGTGCAGGCAGTACTTGTGGCATGCAGGCAGGCTCAGAGGAGATCCTGCAGCCAGAAATGGAAAGTCTTCAGGCATGTGCTTTTGGTGGGGTGTTGTCAACAGTGAATGAACCTGCACTTGCCCAGAATCATCTAGTACAGCTGCAGCTGAAATAAGAGTTCACAAGCATCTAAAGAAAAATCAGTGTTCCCATATGAAAAGAACTGGTGTGATAGAAATACCAACAGGGGCACCTAACCCAGAGATTAGGGAAGGCTTCCTGGAGGAAGTGGTTTTAAAGCTGAGATAAGGCTTGATATGGTGGCTCATGCCTATAATCCCAGTATTTTGGGAGACCAAGGCAGGAGGATTGCTTGAGTCCAAGAGTTTGAGACCAGCCTTGGGCAACATAGCAAGACCCTATCTCTAGAAAACATAAAAAAATTAGTTGAATGTGGTGTCACACACCAGTAGTCTCAGCAACTCAGGAGGCTGAGGTGGGAGGATCACTTGACCCAGGGAGGTTGAGGCTGTAGTGAGCTGTGATTTCACTGCTGTACTCCAGCCTGGGTAACAGAGTGAGAACCTGTCTCTAAAAGAGTAAATACATAAAAATTTATTTTAATTATTATATTTTTAAAAAGGATCAATCGGCCTGGCCTCAGTGGCTCACACCTGTAATCCCAGCACTTTGGGAGGCCAAAGTGAGCAGATCACCCGAGGTCAGGAGTTTCAGACCAGCCTGCCCAACATGGCGAAACCCTGTCTATTAAAAATCAAAAAATTAGCCAGGTGTGGTGGAGGGCACCTGTAATCCCAGCTACTTGGGAGGCTGAGGCAGGAGAATCGCTTGAACCCGGGAGGTGGAGGTTGCAGTGAGCCGAGATCATGCCACTGCACTCCAGCCTGGGCAACAAGAGAGAAACTCCATCTCAAAAAATAAAAATAAAATAAAAAGGAGTCAGTGAAGAGACATTTAAGCAGAAAAACATGATAAGCTTTGTGTTTTGGAATATTCAGTCTAATTACAGCATGTCAGTAGATATCAGGATAGGACCACTGAGTGAGGATGGGGAAAAACAGGTTAGGGAGACCAGTAAAGAGGCTGTTTAGTTATCCAGGTGATATAAGAATGAGAAGTCGGGCAGTAGCAGTAAGGAAGATGAGAAGGAAAAAGATTTGAGACACAGTAAGTTTCCATATCCCCACTCATGGTCCATTCCTGGTAAAATGGTGAAAGAGAAAGAGTATGTGTGTGTGTGCGCGCATGACGTTGTAGGAGTTGAGTTGTCTAGAAAACAGCGCTTAGAAGATATGAATTGAAAGCTCATAAAGAGCTATTGGAGTTCTCTTAAGCAAACTGGGAAGTAAAGTAACTGAAGAGAAAATCTCTCCAGTCACTTCTCATCTGGAGGTGAGATAGTGCAGTGCAGACTGAGAGTCGGGAGAGGTCTTGCTTTGTCCTGGATCTGTGTTGTCTATTGCTTTGACCCGTGTTTTTTCGTTTAACCTCTCTGAACTTTGTTTATTTGTCCAACTTAATACAAAGATGATGAAGCTTGCCCAGCCTATTCTGAGTTGATCTTAAGCTCAGCATGTACTGGGGTGTGACCCAAACAGGGAAGCTGACATCCTCTCTACTAAAGTTAATAGAATGAGAATGCTTAGGGTCATTGTTCAGTCCCAGCAGTCTGGTGTTCAGTGTGGACGTTGGCCTGTTGGCTCACCCCAGGCACAGGGGGTGAGTGGTCGTTCACCGTGCTGTGCGGCAGGGATGTGGAGTTTTGGAATGGGTTAGGGTGATACTAGGTTATTTCAAAGGTGATCCCTTCCAACTCTGAGACTGGGTCCTGTGTCACAGGCCTTAGTAAGAGTTAGATGAGATCATGGCTACAAAAGCACTTGGAGAACAAACATTCTAGACAAGTAAAGGTATTATTATCAGTAGACCATTTGACATTAGCTCATAGTTTTTAAATGTTTAACTTTCTTGCATATCCCCATGAGGCAGAAAATAACTTCCAAGTTCCTACATGCTGGTAGATGATTTCGTTTCATTTCATAAAGAGACCAAACTTTCCCTCATACCATCTTCTTAACTGCATTTTGCTTTTCTTACATTATCTCATATGTTTAACAATGACTGGAAATATTTGACTTGCCAAGACTTGAATTTGGGCATCTGGGGTTTCTCCCACTGTCCATGATAGCATCACCAGCAAGTGGAGCACAGGCTGTACATTCCGCATGTGAGCTTTCAGAGTGAGGAATGTTCTCCACCTCCTGGGAAAAACCAGGGCCCAATTCACAGGAGTTGAAAGGAAACTGATTTTAGAACCCTTTTACAGTACTGTGACTTTTCACTCATCAGTGTTGGAAACTGGTTCTCTTTCTGTTAAAAGAATCCCCTGGGGCTTTAAGCTTAAACGATGACAGTGACTCAGAGTGGCTCATGCTTATTGCACCTTGATGCTGTGCCAAGTGCAATTTTAGCCCTTTACATGTAAGATACACCACAGCCTGTGAGTAAGCATTCGCTTTGTAGATTAGGAAACCAAGGAACATGCAGTAAATAACTAGCCTAGAGTCGCACAGTTAAGCTGGAAGTTGGACCTTGGCATGTGACTCCAAAGCCCTGCCTGAAGTGCTGCTCCTCCCCTCCTTGCAAGCAGAGACCTGCCACACAGAGCCCACAGAGGTCTGAAGGAGGCAGGATTTCCTGTTCACAGCTCAGGAGAGCAGACAGTGGTGTTAAGCAGGAAAAGCACATTAGAATTCCAGTTTACTTACAGTGCTCTCCACACCAGGAAGGAAATGCCCCAAATATGAACATGACTTCCACTAAGATAAATGGCTCCAATCTAGGGGATTCCCATGTGCAGCAGAAAAAGTGTTAATCGTTAGAGATCAGAGTTTTTACCTGCTACCTCTTTCATATTTTCTTTCCTTAGGTTAAAAAGATCAAGTGGCATGAGCAACCTTTTGGGGAAAATTGGTGCCAAGAAACAGAAAATGAGCACCCTCGAGAAGTCCAAACTGGACTGGGAGAGCTTCAAGGAGGAAGAGGGGATTGGTGAAGAACTGGCCATCCATAATCGAGGGAAAGAGGGGTAAGAAGGAGTAGGTTATATGCCTTGGAAAATCCTCAGAACCCTGAAATCAAATGATTTATTGGAGACAGACTGCCCACTGGAAGCAAGCAGGAGCTTTTCATGATGGAACTAAAAATGTGAGCACTTTGTTTTGTCAGTAAGGCTCTGTTCCAGTGTGGGGCAGGGCCTGTCACTGGGAAGGCCACTGCAGATGGAGGGAAGGCGGGGCATGTGAGGAGTACTCTCAGGGCCAGTCACGTCTGCCAAGCTGAATTTGCTGAATTACAGCTCCAGTGAACTATAAGTTGCCTAGTGGTTGGATCTGGCCCATGGTAGCAGCCTTGGCCTTATCTGAATCATTTGTCCTTCTGAGAAGCCAAACTAGTTCAAATCCTTCAAAAACAGAGCCACTGGAGTGCCTAGATGTTGCATTATTGTGACATTTTTTTTGGTCTGTGTCATCATGGCCCAGGGCGGGGCTTTACCCTTGGCTATAGCCTGTGTGATAGGCCAGGCCCTCAGACAGCACCACAGGCCATCACTTGCACCTCTTTCTCTTCACTGTGGAATACAAAGAGGATGTTCATAACCTATGTATTCAGTTGTAAAAAGGGTCCTTTCCTTGTCATATTTGTCTTACTGGTGATTAAACAAAACATCAAGAAAGAAATGGTGGCCAGGCATGGTGGTTCACACCTGTAATCTCGGCACTTTGGGAGGCTGAGGCAGGCAGATCACTTGAGGTCAAGAGTTCGAGACCAGCTTGGCCAACATGGCAAAACCCCATCTCTACTAAAAATATAAGAATTAGCCAGGCATAGTGGTGCACGCTTATAATCCCAGCTACTTGGGAGGCTGGGGCAGGAGGATCACTTGAACCCGGGAGGTACGGAGGTTGCAGTGAGCCAAGATTGAACCACTGCACTCCAGCCTGGGTAACAGAGCAAGACTCTGTCTCAGAAAAAAAGAAAGAAAGAAAGAAATGGTGTTCATAAGTACTTAGGGACCTCAGAAGGCACTAAGGAAGTTAACACAGAAGTGACTTCATGGCTCAAAATCAATAGTCCTCACCCCTAGCCATGAAAGGAAATGTTGAGTGTCCCACTCAGAGAACCCTGGCTGCTCAGCAGCTCTGCCCCTCACCAGTAAGCTCTTCTCCAGCAGCATGCTGGACACCTCTGAGGCTCAGCTCCATCACCAATAAAATTGGGATAATGATACCATCCTCACTATGTGGTTGTGATGATCTCATGAGATAATACATGTATTGCTTACATATATGTAATATGCATAAAGCACTTTACGAGACACCTGTCACATAAAGGCTTGCATTAAGTCCAAGTCATTCAAGTTTTTTTTTTAAGAGAGAGTCTCACTATGTTGCCCAGGCTGGTCTCAAACTTTTGGGCTCAGGCAATCCTCCTGCCTCGGCCTCCTATGGAGCTAGGACTACAGGGGCACATCCCTGCACCTAGCTCATTCAGGTTATTAATGATAGGCAAAGGATTTATTTTGGGAGGGGTCATATTTCTAAATTAGGCTTCAAGATTATCTAAATGAACCTGGAAGCTGACCAGTATTTTTTTTTAACATTATTTATTTATTTATTTATTTATTTATTTATTTATTTAGAGATGGAGTCTCACCCTGTCACCCAGGCTAGAGTGCAATGGCGCGATCTTGGCTCACTGCAACCTCCGCCTGCCGAGTTCAAGCAATTCTCCTGCCTCAGCCTCCCAAGTAACTGGGATTACAGACATGTGCCTCCATGCCTGCTAATTTTTGTAGTTTTAGTAGATAGAGATGGGGTTTCACCATGTTGACCAGGCTGACCTCATGATCCACCCGCCTCGGCCTCTCAAAGTTCTGGGATTACAGGCATGAGCCACTGCGCCCAACCCAAAAAAAAAAAAACATTTTAAACAGCTTCATGAGCTTGTTTAACTAGCAGACTTCTAGGTCAGTCTAAGCTGGAATGCTACAGGACAGGGAGAAGGAGCCAGAGTGATCAGGGGAAGGCTCCGCATAAAGTGCAATGTTGTCTCTTCACGAGTGGCAGCTCTGACATGCGCCCCAAACCTCTCCATTCAGATTCAGCTCTAGTAACTTGCAGCTCCGTCCTGTTCTCCACTCTTGCACAGTGATCTGAGACAGCAGAGGAACTATCAGTGTGTGCTACACATTATTGCTTTTCTGAATATTGATTATTTGAGTTGGACAGTGTTGACTCTGCTTGAGTTAATAGCGGTCTTAGAAAAGTAAGGAGTGCTGGGAGCAGTGGTTCACTCCTGCAATCCCAGCACTTTGGGAGTCCAAGGCAGGAGGATTGCTTGAGCTCAGGACAAGCCTAGGCAACATAGCAAGACCTCGCCTCTACTAAAAATCCAAAACATTAGTTGGGCATGGTGCACACCTGTAGTCCCAGTTACTTGGGAGGCTGAGGTGTGAGGATCGCTCACCTCCAGAAGATCGAGGCTGCAGTGAGCTCTAATCGCACCAGTGCACTCCAGCCTGGGTGAAAGCGTGAGACTCTGTCCCAAAAAAATAAAAATTTTCAATTAAAAATAAGGCAAGGAGTGGTGCTTTTAAAGATAGGAAGAGTTAACAAAATGTAGACTAGAAGAGAAGACGAGATTAAAAATAACATCTGCCTAGTGAGAACTTTTCAGGAGGGGAAAGTCACATAATTGGGTTAGGGAACAACTAACTAATACTGTTCTCCTTTATGCTCTGCTTTTCCCTCCTTTGTTTGAGGCTTCTCCCCTCATTCACCCAGCCAGATTCCACAGATGTGACTGTGTGTTTTCAGTGCAGATCTACTGGCTCTGTGCTCTGCCTCAGCCCTTCTCATCTGCTTTCTTGAGTGCCCAGCCCCATACCTCCACTCACTCTCCTTTTCTGGCTCCTGCAGATGGATTAAGGGAGCCCAGCCCCTAGGCCAGTGAAGGCCAGTGAAGGGACTGGAGCTCTGTTCCTCACCTTGGCTGAGCATGAGAATCCTCTGGTGACATTTTCCAAAGTTCAGGTGACCACCTCTGTACAGAGCTGCTGAATCAAGAGTCTAGTAGAACAGGTAGGTCACAAATATCTGCATCTTTAAATTTTATTTCTCAGGTAATTCTCATGCACAGCCAAGGTTGAGAATCACAAGACCACAGGTTCAAAATTCTAGAGGCATAAGACAGGTGCAGTGACATGCACCCGTAGTCCCAGCTACTCACAGCACTCCAGCCTGGACAACAGAGAAAGATCCTGTCTCTTTACAAAAAAAAAAAAAAAAGACACAACGAAACTCTAATGTTGAGAAAAAAGAAACTTAAAGCAAGGAAATGAACACACAGACACAGGCTTTGGGCAGGCTGTCACCTGAGTGGGCTGCAGGTTTTTGGGGAAGAATTATACAGGCACCTCCTCGGGACTCCAGCCTTCTACTTCTAACCAAGTCAGAGCCACGCGAGCACTTGTTTTATAATGATTCATTGCCCTTGCCCAGTTCATGCACTCTTCTGTATGTATGTTTTACAATAAGCAATTCAAATATTGGGTCTTCCCATACCATGGGTACCAGCCCCATTTTCTTCATCTGTAAAGTAGAAACATTTTAATATACCTCTCATGATTATTGTGGGAATTATATAAGTAGAGGAAAGGCCGGGCATGTTTTTCAATAGGAGTCCTCTCCCTTTTCCATGAGTCCTGTGCTCACTTTTCTTTCTCCCACCTGCCATTACTGACCCCACCATACCTCGGGCCTTACTGGAAAACTAGATGCTTTATTCCTTTAAGTTTCTTCTTCATGTGTTCGTGCCAACTCTTCAGGAATATTTTCCACAGTGGTGGGAAGCAGAGCTTGGTGGCATCTCCGCCCAGACTCCCTGGCTGGCTTTTCTTCCTTCCCTGGGCCTTTAAACTTGGAAAGTCCCAGGGCTGGGCCCTGGGCAGCCATCTCTTCCTCCCCAGGAAAGCTCACAAGTTGCAAGTTGCAGCTACCATTCTTAACTGAAGACTCAAAAAAAAAAAAAAAGTATCCCCTGCTCTGACCGTTCCACTAAAGTCCAAACTTACATTTCAGCTGTTAGTTGACATCTCCTTCTGGTTGTCCAAGACACATCAAACTTAACTTTCAAAACCAAATACTTGCTTTCCCTCCATAAACAGAACCCTCACTCCTCAGAATTCTTAGAAAATGGCACATCACTGTGTACCCTACTGTTAAAAGAAAAACTTGGGGCCGAGCATGGTGGCTCACGCTTGTAATCCCAACACTTTGGGAGGCCGAGGCAGGCAGATCACCTGAGGTCAGGAGTTCGAGACCATCCTGGCCAACATGGTGAAACCTCGTCTCTACTGAAATACAAAAATTATTTTTTTTTGTATTTCATGCCACCGGGCATGGTGGTGGGCACCTATAATCCCAGCTACTCGGGAGGCTGAGGCTGGAGAATTGCTTGAACCCAGGACGCAGAGGTGGCAATGAGCCGAGATCCTGCCATTGCACTCCAGCCTGGGCAACAGGAACGAAACTCCGTCTCAAAAAAAAAAAAAGAAAAACTTGGGCTTCATCCTTGATTTCCTGTCTTTCCACCAACATCCCACAATTCCAGTTGATGGTTTCATCACAAAATACTTCAGCTCATTTATATTCGTGCAGCCCCACTACCGCCACCCCAGTACAGGCCACAGACATCTCCTCCGCTCCCTGCTTCTACCTCTGTACCCTTTCATCCATTCTCCACCCAGCAGCAGAAGCAGTCATTTAAAAATACCATTTTTCATCTCTTCCCTGCGGAACGCCCCCCGGTAGCCCTTCAAATCAGTGTTAGCCAGGCCCTCTCCCAGCTGTCCCCTGCCTACCTCTGTCCTCTTCTCCCCTAGCTCGCTGCAGGCCAGCCTCACTGTCTCTATGTAGTGCTCCTCCCCCGGGAGGCTCTGGTTTGTCATCCAGGGCTCCACACGGGTGGCATTCTAGAGTAACCCCAACCCAAGGAACCCTCAGTCACATTACCCTGTTTGGTTTTCTCCGTGACATTTACTATCACCTGATGCATGTTGTCATGTTTTGTTCATCTATGGTAAGCCCCTGAGGGCAACATCTTGTTCCCTATTCTGTTACCAGCCCAGAGCAGGTGCTGCACCATGGCAGTGTTTACACACCCATCCCACTAGCTAGCAAATAGTTATGGCTTTTGTTTGGCAGTCTAGTAGGATTAGAATTAACCGCCCAGAAAAGAAGAGCATAATACATCAGAATGATGTTTCCATCCAGGCGTCATTTCAGTTAGCAGAGATGGTTGAAGTCCCTGTACTGGAGACAGTCATCTGTCTGGCAAAGAACTGCTGCTTTTCCTCTGAGCTCCAGACTCCCAGGGCCCAGTACAGCATTCCAGGATCAGAGTCAGCCCTGCAGTCCTGTAACCCATTACACAGGTATCTTGGTTGTGATCAGCAGCAGCAGCTTGGCATCTAGCAGTGCTAAGGCAGGGGCCAACTGACTTAGGGGGAGGAATCCAAGCACAGAGAAGAGAAATACTTGCTAATGCCAGCTGCTGCTGTCTGACCAATCCATTGAAGTTACGATTGGAGACCAGGTGTTTTTGTGAGTTGGAGAGGCATGAAGGAGGGACTGGAGAAAATAATTTTCTTTCTCCAAAAAAACCTATTTTCATGACCCCTCAGAGTTACTCTTTCAGAACCAGCACAACCTGGAGGTGATAGGGGAAGAAGGCAGTGGAGAAGAAACTTAATTAGAATCACCGCCCTTCCAGTCTAACCCTTGAGATGTTTGCAAGTTAAATCCTCCGGAAGGGGGGAGATGTACTGTTGGGCAAACTGCTTCTTTCAGTTGCATTTCTCAGGATAGCAAAGTCTGTATCTCTGTACATCATTCCCAGAGCTTTATTCTAGCCTCGGAGTGCTTCCATAGCCCATTGCTTTGTAGTGTTGGAAAATGCGTTTACCCACTTTTTGTCCTGTGTCTGTGCTGCCTTGAATGCTCACTTGGGGAACAGAATGCTAGCTTTGGGCAGCGTGATGGTAATGCAGCCTTAGTGTGTCCTTAGTGACTGCCTCAGGTTTCCCTCCGCTTCGCTGTGCTCTCCCTTTTCCTGACCAGCAGTGCAGGAAGCATCTCAGGGACTTCAGCCAGGGTGACCACGTCTGATCAGCACTCTCTTGGACCTTACCACCCTCAGAGGCCCTCTGTCCTCCTGCAGTGTGGGTGCCCAGATACAGGTTGAATATCCCTTATCTGAAATGCTTAGGACTGGAAGTGTTTTGGATTTCATACCTTTTTCAATTTTGTAATATTTGCTTTTACATCATCAGCAATCTTGGGGTTGGGACCCAAGTCAAAACACAGAATTCATTTGTTTTATATGTACTTTATACACAAAGCCTGGAGGTAATTTTATGCAGTATTTTAAATAATTGTGTGCTTGAAACAAAGCTTGTGTACATTGAACCATCAGAAAGCAAAGGCGTCAGGTGTAGAATTTTCCACTTGTGTCTTGTTAGTGCTTTAAAGGTTTCTGATTTTGGAGGAATTCAGGTTTCGGATTTTTGGATTTGGGATGCTCACCTTGTACTGACATGTTCGCTAGTAGCATTTTCTACCCTTCTCTTGTCCTCTTCCATTTCTCCGTCCCTCTTCATTGGCCTAGATCTCAGGGAAATTGGTGGCAGATAAATAATTTGGGTTGGAAGATTCAAAAGATGTCAGAGCCTGTTGTGCCTAACCTGGTTCTAAAAGGAAAAACTAGAAAATCCCTTAGGTTCTTAGCATATTTTATTAAAGAAAGTGAAGAGCCTCTTAATTGGGCCACAGAAGGCAATGGGAGCAGAAAGGGATGATGCACCCCCCACCACTGGGTTTCCCTGTGGACTGGGCTGAGTCATGCTGGGCCCCCAAAAGGGCTGCTCACAGGCCAGAAAAGCACCTGGACACATCAAGAGCAAAAGCCATGATTCCCATTGCACTTGTCCTCAGGTGGGTCTGTTCTGGGGCCACGACCCACTTAAAGTGCATGAAAACGTCCTGAGTCTCAGTGGCCACCTTTGAGGAAGTGGCCTTCCTAATGAGCCCTTCCTCTTTTGAGGACATTTAGTCTCTCGGTCTCTGTTCCAGTTGCCCTGGGTTTTGAGGGTCTGTAGAGGTAAAGTCAAGTCAGAAGAAATGTGAAGCAAGACCGGGCAGAATGACTCACACCTGTAATCCCAGCACTTCGGGAGGCTGAGGCGGGCAGATCACTTGAGGCCAGGAGTTCAAGACCAGCCTGACCAACATGGCAAAACCCCATCTCTACTAAAAATGCCAAAAAAAAAAAAAAAAAAAGAAGAAGAAGAAACGGGAAGCAAGAACCCCAAGCCCGTGACAAATCCCATGTCTATTTTTTTGTTTTATTGTATACAAAGCACTTCTCACAGTTTCATTGTATTGCCAGAGGGTTATTGTAATTGTTATTCCTGTTGTACAGAGAAGGAAAAAAAAGGCACAGAAAAATAAGTATCTTGCCCAAAGTCACACAAAAACTAAATGTCAGAGCTACTGTCATCCTTAGCACCTTTTCTGTCTCTTGGCAGTGGGAGAGTATATCGAGAGTTTTGTTCATGGTCAGCTCTTGGCAGTAAACCAAGGCCGTCACAGGCATCCTGTTAGCAGCTGCAGATAGCTGTGAATCGGGGAATAGTTGCCAGATCTGCCTTGATGGCCTTTGTCTGGGTTGCCCTTGAGAATTCAGTTGCATCCTGCACATGTGCCCCTCATTGCTGCCTGAGGCCTCCCTAAACCTGAACTCCGACTGCACCTGCCTGTTTAGCACCCAACCTGGGCTTCACTCTTGATAGTCTCAAGGTTAGCTGGACCCAACACAGCTTCTGGGAACGTGCAGGACCTTTATTCATACCCAGTTAGCATCCTTATTTAAGTGTCACTTCTTATTTACAGGAAAGTCAGGGCTGGGCCCGATGGCTCTCACCTGTAATCCTAGCACTTGGGAGGCCAAGGTGGGAGGATCGCTTGAGCCCAGGAGTTCCAGACCAGCATGGGCAACGTGGAGAGAACCCTATCTCTACAAAAGATTTAAAATTAGCCAGGTGGTATGTGCCTGTGGTCCCAGCTACCTGAGAGGCCGAAGCAGGAGGATTGTTTGAGCCTGAGAGGTCAAGGCTGCAGTGAACTGTGTTTGCACCACTGCATTCCAGCCTGAGCAACAAAGCAAGACCCTGTCTCAAAAAAATAAAGTCAGGAAGAAAGACCCCAAATGCTTAAAGCCACATTCTTACTCCTTTCCTCCACCTGATCTCCCAGACAGGTAGCACTGGAAGATGGCTCTTGAAACATACCCTAAATTCCTCTTACACCCCCGGGCCAACAACAGCACAGCAAGATCTCATGCTGAGGCTCACCTCTCTTTTTTCTGCTGGCACTTCCAAGGGACAGTTAAAGTTCAGTGCTGTCAAAATCCTGGTCCCCATGGTAGTGAGCCTCCCTGGGGCTGGTGGGGCTGGGGTGGAAAGGTGACCAGTTGTAGTGAACCTCAAAATGGCCTCTCAGGCCATTTTGGTTAGCAGCCCCCACTTGAGAATCACAGGTCTCTTAGTGGGAGGTGGGAAGTGAGTTTGTTGTTAGATGTCTACACTTCCCTACCTGTCTCCCCTTTTTCTCTTTTTATCTAAAGGGGTCCACACTGTCTGCAGCTTCCCTGACTGCCAGGGACTCTGAAGTTCGAATTCAACCAGCAGCCTGTATTTTTATTTGTTGGATCTGACAACCCTGACCCCAGGGGCTTTTATCAAACCTAAGAGCAGGCCCTGTCATTGTGTTTCCAGCCATTCTGGCCTCATGGGTGGTTTTGACACAGCAGCTTAATATCTGAGCCAGACCAGGTATTTTGGTTACTCACTGTTGAAACCATAAGTCCAGACTTGGGCCATCTACTATCGTCAGGAGCCTGTTGGAAGCTGGCTTCCTAAAACCATGGTGACAACATTACCTACCATTTTATTGAGCATCTTTTCTGTGCCCAGTGTGATGTAGACACTATTTTATTTAATCCACACAACAGTCCTTCAGAATGGAGTCGACTAGCCATTACTTATTATCATTATTACAAATTAGGAAACAGAACTAGCAAGGTTAAGTGACTTGCCCAGAGTCACACAGACAGCAAATGACAGGACTCAAACCTCCAGCTCTCTGGCCTCAGAGCCTGTACATTTCTGGCCAGCCCTCCAGAAGAGTCAAAGTAGTCAGGCCTAGCTGGAAATGAGGTAGGATGATGGATGGTACTTCCCAGGATGCCGCTGGGAGGGAAAGCAAGGCCCTGGACTCAGCAGGGGAACACAGGTTCCTGAACGCAGTAGCATTCTCACTATAAATGTAATGACTTTGTAATGACAGATGCACATTTTCCACAGTGCAACAAAAGAAAAATTAGTGCAGAGATTCAATTATGTCTCCCATTTTCGATGGCAATTTTTGCTCTCTCGATAGATTAATTAGCGGCAGAGATCTCCTCCCCCCAGGCAAATCGCAGCACACTTTATGGCGAGGAGGCGCATTAAGATGCAGCTGTGTCTCATTAAGCAGCCAGCCTCGCTCCCAGCAAGCACGCCTGTGCTTCAGCCCTTGCTGCTTTCCCGTCCTGCCTGGAGGACAGAGGGAAAGTTTGCTGAACCCAACCAGATTCGGGAGCAGAGTGTCCACCTTTCAAGGGTATCCTGTATGTGGACTACAGGCCACAGAGGCCCTTAACCTCATTCTCTTAGAGGAATTTAGGGAAAGAGTTCTCCTGTCATCTTAGCAGAAGCAACCTAGACCCAAACAGGGTGGAGGGGATACCACGGAGAGGAGAAAAGGGTGAGGGGGGAAGAAAAGAGCTCAGAGCAGTTAAATCGCTTCTGAAGTGTGCAGTTGATGAACCTCAGCTCACTTCATCTTCACAGCAGCCCTGTGAGGTCATTTTTACTGTCTTCTTTCCTTCATTACCACATGCCCCCTTTTCACGTTTTGATGTATGTACGCAGGAGGCATAGCTTTCTCTTACCCACCAATTCAACACACCACTAAAGCATCACCATGCTGCTGTATAGAAAAGTGAGGCTCAAAGATGTTCATTCCTTTGCCCAGCTAATAAGTGAGCTAGAGCTAGGACTTGAACCCATGCTTGTGTAAACCCGTATTCTTTCTTCTTACCTTAAAGTCCTGTTAGAAAATTGCAGCATCTTCCTGCCACCCAGCCTCTGATATACTTTCCCTTTGATAAGCTGTTGCCTTCCTTTTATTTTCACCATCCTTGTTTAGACCAAATGTGAGTGGTTTGGATTGTACTGGAAGAGTCATGGGTGGTCACTCTCGGCACCATTTACTGTAACTTAGTTTATCCCTGGGGCACGGGACCATGCAGGGAAGGAGTTTCTCCTACTGGATTCTACTGACAAACACTGTTTTCATCTTCTTCTAGGTACATAGAACGGAAAGCCTTCCTCGACCGAGTGGATCACAGGCAGTTTGAAATTGAGCGAGATCTCAGGCTGAGCAAAATGAAACCTTGATGTTACGGGCAAAATCAAGAGCAACTTAATCCTGTTTACAATGTGAGCTTTTTGTGCGTCTGTGAAATGTTTTCCAGTGTTTCTCATGATCTGTTTCCCAGCAAGGTCTTTTTTTTTTTTCTACATTGAAGTTCTGTCTATGTATCTTAATCACAAATGGTTTCATTCACTTTACTTTTAAAAATTTGTCCTTAAATGAATAAATAAAATAAAAGTTGGTCCTGTGAGAGGATGATGAAGATGACGACCTCACTCACCTTCCTTTTATTCTGCTGCAAAGTCCCGCCCAGTTCAAGACAGCACATTCTAGGTCTGTCCAGGTTGGCAGAGGTCTTGCCAGGCATGGTGAAGAGAGCTGACCAACCCGGGTGTGAATTTTCTGGGACCAAGAGGCTCTTTCTGCAGCCAGCCTTGTCCCGAAGAGCTAGAGGAGATGGCTCACTAGAGTGACTGGAATGCCAGGCCCCTTTGCAGCTTGTTCTCATTTCCACTCGGGCTTCCCTCCTGATCTCTCTCTCTCCTGAATGGATTCCTACTGATGGCATGTAAGGCTGAAAAGAAGGATATAGTATTGCTGAATTAGCTGTTTTTTCCCTTCAGCCTTTTTCCTCTTCCCAAAGAAAAGTTAAATTCAGATATGCTCCCACTTCAATAGTTCATTAGTTTTTAGTTTGTCAGAGAATATTCTGAAGGATTTTCTTTTTTATACTCATAAGAAAATGTAAATTCCAGACTTCCTGCTTAGAGTCAGACATTCTTTGCAGAACAGCAGGGAGGAGAGTAACAAATCTTCAGTGAAGAGGGAAAGGGGGATAGAGAGCATTCATATTAATAAAGCAGGAAACCCCACAACCTGCTCCTGGTGTGTGTGCCTGCATGTGCACGTGTGTTACTCAAGTAACATGACAGGTTTGGGTGATGATAGGATCCCTAAGACTGCATTCCATTTCTTGATGGACCAGCTCTGTGGCCCTGACCACAGGTCATTTTTCTGTGCCTCCATTTTCTGGTCTGCAAATGGCATGAATAACACCAGTACCTCCAACGGGTGGCGTAAGCTAACAACACACCCGGCGGGTATGAGTGCTAGTTTATGGCAGGTCTCCCAATCTAGGCCTCTAATGTGGTGGGAATTCATAGCAGCAAAGACCCGACTGTCAACACTAGGTGGTTATGGGCTATGGATCTTATTACTCAGAAAGGTAGTTTACAAGTTAAATTTGAACACAGTGTCTATTCACATCCCCTCTGATAAATAATTCTAAGTGATTATAGAGCATTTCAGGCCAGCGTCACAACAGGCGGCCTGCAAGGTCTTAGTTATGGTCCCAAATGGGACATAAGAATAACAGAGGAAGGTGGGCGAGGTGGCTCATACCTGTAATCCCAGCACTTTGGGAGGCTGAGGCAGGTGGATTGCTTGAGCTCAGGAGTTCAAGATCAGCCTGGGCAACAAGATGAAACCCAGTCTCCACCAAAAATACAAAAAGAGGCCGGGCGCGGTGGCTCAAGCCTGTAATCCCAGCACTTTGGGAGGCCGAGGCGGGTGGATCACGAGGTCAGGAGATCGAGACCATCCTGGCTAACATGGTGAAACCCCGTCTCTACTAAAAATACAAAAAACTAGCCGGGCGTGGTGGCGGGCGCCTGTAGTCCCAGCTACTCGGAGGCTGAGGCGAGAGAATGGCGTGAACCCGGGAGGCGGAGCTTGCAGTGAGCCGAGATCGCGCCACTGCACTCCAGCCTGGGCGACACAGCGAGACTCCGTCTCAAAAAAAAAAATACAAAAAGAAATTAGCCAGCCATGGTGGTGCATGCCTGTAGTCCCAGCTACTCAGGCAACTAAGGTGGGAGGATCACTTAAGCCCTGGAAGTTGAGGCTGCAGTTAGCCAAGATCATGCCATTTCACTCCGACCTGGGCAAAGGGAGTGAGACCCTGTCTCAAAAACAAAAAAAGAATAACCTAAGAGCTGCCAGTATTTTGATGAGAGGACATCCAGACCTTCAGGAGGTAGCAGCCAAGATTTGATGTGAACGTCCTCCCACATGGTACTCTCTGGCTTATCATCCATCATTCACCACCATTTGGCAACTGTTTCCCTAACTTTTCTCTGGAGTTCTGAGTCCCTCTTCCATTGCGTTTCACAAAGTTCTTCATCTCAGCAGCCAGTATCTCAGCAACACGTGAGCTGGCGCTCTCCCTGTTTGAAAAATGATCTGGAATCCAATAGAATGAATGGTGCTGAGTTCGTGGTAAGTTAGGGTTTTTCTTTTTAGCCAGTGTTAACACCTGTGAAGCCTAAGGGATTAAGACAAAAGCTGCAAAGCCTGCTGGGTTCTTCTTACAGGTGGGTTTGCTATTCCTGTTTTGCTCCAGGCCATGAAGAGAGAAGTCAGGTGTGTCAGTGAAAATCATAGCTGTGTGCTTGGGCCCTGCCTGTCTTGTTCAGGATCCAGCCCCACACAGGTGTCTCCATCTGTACCTGTGTTCAGTTAATGTCACAATTCTGGAGAAATGTTGGTTCCTTTCTGCTGTCTTTTGACTGGTGCCCCTTTTCCCAGCAGGGTTGCTGCCCACATCTGACTTCCACACAATCACCCACTACCTTTCCATGAGTCTTTTAGAAAGCCCCTCTAGTCTAGTCTTTTTTGACAGATTCTGGCTGCCTGTCAGGGAATACATGGCTATTTGCATCAATCCTGTTACAGGTGCCCTGTTTCCCAATTTGTAGATCCCTACTTCGGAGTCTCACACTTTGCCACTTTAAACTGTGCTGTTTGCCTTGACTTCAGCTGTCACTCTCTTGATCTACATGGAACCTCTTTAAAAGCCTCCTGTACTGACCTCACTTCATCTCACTAATGAACTGCTTCCTCTGGCTGATACATATGCATCTGTGTGTATGTATTATGTACACGTGTGTCATCTTACAATGAGAGTTCATATCAGACTTTCATTTATGTCTCAGTGCCCATAGCTGGGTCACTGAACTACCTCTACCTGTAGGAAAGGCTGGAAAAGTGAGTGTCATGGAAAACAGGCAAGGATGGGGGTAATTAGGAGTATGTAGTAGGTCAGCCAACCAGTGTACCTGGCACACCCAAGTCTTTGTTATAAACCAACGGGCTTTTCTCTATTCTTTAAAATTGTCCCAGGCTGGGCACAGTGGGTCATGCCTATAATCCCAGCACTTTGGGAGACCAGGGCTGGAGAATCATGTGAGCCCAGGAGTTTGAGACTAGCCTGGGCAACATAGTGAGACCCCATCTCTAAAAAAAATAAATCTTTAAAAATTAGCCAGTTGCACTGGCACATTTCTGTAGTCTCAGCTACTCGGGAGGCTGTGGTGGGATGATCAGTTGAGCCCAGGAGGTTGAGAGGTTGCAATGAGCCATGATTACACCACTGCACTTCAGCCGGGGCAACAAAGAAGACTCCGTCTAAAACAAACAAAAAATGGTCACAGAGAGTCAGATAGGTAACTAGGTAGGTAGATACATAGGTAATAAGATTAGACTAGATAGGTTAGATTAGATTAGGTGGTCCCAGAGTGAGACCCCATCTCAATAAATAAAATTGTCCCCAGAGGAGTGGGTGGGGTTTATTGAAGCTGAGAGAGGAGTATATTAGATTTATTATACTCTTCTCTCTACTTCTATATAGATTGAATTTTTCATAATGTTTTTTAAATTGTCACAGGGAGGCCAGGCACAGTGGCTCACACCTGTAATCCCAATACTTTGGAAGGCCAAGGTGGGTGGTTCACCTGAGGTCAGGAGTTCAAGACCAGCCTGACCAACATGGTGAAACCCCATCTCTACTAAAAATACAAAAATTAGCCAGATGTGGTTTGCACGCCTGTAATCCCAGCAACTCAGGAGGCTGACGCAGGAAAATCACTTGAACCCGAGAGGTGGAGGCTGCAGTGAGCCAAGATTGCACCACTGCACTCCAGCCTGGGTGACAAAGTGAGACTCCATCTGGAAAAAAAAAAAAGATTGTTAGAGGCTCTAAGGAAGGACTTTGATGTGCTCAGGCTGTTCTAGGAGAGTGTGGGCAGCCTCCCAGGGCTCACCTCCCCACCCTGCAAGTCTCATAATGGCCATGAGTGTGGTAGAGGGGACCCTGGTCCAAGAAGGAGGTCCTCTCTGGCTCCTAAGATCCTGTGCCTGTTTTTCTTTTTTTTTTTTCTTTTCTTGTTTTTTTTTTTTTTTTTTTTTAGACAGGGTCTTGCTCTGTTGCCCAATTAGTGCAGTGGCATGATCATGGTTCACTGTAGCCTCGACCTCTTGGGCTCGGGAGATCATTCACCTCAGCCTCCCAAGCAGCTGGGACCACAGGTATACGCCACTGCACCCAGCTAATTTTTTTTTTTTTTTTTTTTTGAGACAGAGTCTCACTCTGTCGCCCGGGCTGGAGTACAGTGGCTGGATCTCAGCTCACTGCAAGCTCCGCCTCCCGGGTTTACGTCATTCTCCTGTCTCAGCCTCCCGAGTAGCTGGGACCACAGGCGCCCGCCACCTCGCCCGGCTAGTTTTTTGTATTTTTTTAGTAGAGACGGGGTTTCACTGTGTTAGCCAGGATGGTCTCGATCTCCTGGCCTCGTGATCCGCCCGTCTTGGCCTCCCAAAGTGCTGGGATTACAGGCTTGAGCCACCGCGCCCGGCCTCCCAGCTAACTTTTTAATTTTTTGTATAGATGGGGGCTCACTGTGTTGCCCAGACTGGTCTTAACTATGCCTGTTTTAACAACTTGGAAACCAAGCTTTGCAGATTCTATGTCACCTCATCTTCCCAGACTCTGAAGGACTTCCTTTGGCCCCTTCTTTTTACTCTTTACTGGTGTGGATCATGTTCAAGGGACAGGGGAACTGGCCAGCAAGACAGGGTCCTTGGGCATTGGCAGTGGGTATCTGCAAATGGGTGGCTGTTTCTTGTACGTGTAAGCCAGGCCCCAGGAGGCAGGAGTCTTCTCAAGACCTGCCTGACCATCCCCAAGGGCTGGGTGCTGTGGCTGCAGAATGGGGCAGGCCTTTGGCACCAGCCAGTGAGCCAGGCAGAGGACCAAGCAGGTGGGTGTCCATGGGGGTGCCAAGATGGGGATGGGCCATTCTTGGGTATTCCTGTTGGTCATCTGTGCTGCCTGAGCCCATCTGTGCCCTCAGTGGGACCTACCTTCTCTGCCAGCATTGCTACCTGTCCCACCCTCTTCCTACCTCATGCTCAAAGGACTGAGCCTCCTC